GGAATCCTAGTACATCCACTGCAATTATGGTGATCTCGTGCTAATTATTTACCTTCTGTGAGTCTCTGTTTTTTCATCTGTTGTACAGAGGAATAATAATACCTACTTTATAAATCTCCAGAAAATATATCAGGATTTTTCTATAAAAAGTGATAGAAACCCTCCATTCAAATTGGCTTAATTAACAGTAACAAAAGGGAATTTATTGCTTCATATTACTTTCAAATCCATATTATTATCAGAGCCAACTGCTTTGGGTACAACTAGCTTCAGGTGATCAAATGAAGGCAGGTAGCATGACGGTGCCTTTCCAAATCTTGGCTCCACTTTCCTACGTGTTGGCGTAATTCCTGGGCAAGCTATTTCTTTACTGTCAGTGATAGCGCCTAGCACATTTAAGCTTAGATATTGCTCTCCTAGCCTCCCCTTTCTGAAACTCTAGCAGAAGTCCTAGAAATATCCTTCATTGGTAGTTTGGTCAAGTGTCCTTCTCTGGAGCCAGGAGATCAAGGACATAGACTGAGTTTGGGCAAAGTATTATCTTTTAAAGAAATGCTGGCTTTACCAAAAGAAAAACCACACACACACACACACACACACACGAAAAGAAAACACTACAAATCCAAACCAACAACTTCCCTGTAGTAGATAAAATGTCTAGAACGGTGTTTGGCACATAATAGGTATTTAATAAATGTATGTTAATAATGAAAAAGAATCTATTTTTTAAACCCTCAAATATGCAGGGCTACCAGCTTTTAGAGAAGTTTCCTGGACCACACGTACATGACTAGATCCTGGTTAACTTAAGGCAACATATGTTGTTAGGACAGATCCCAACATATGATATTTGATGTGACTCAATTGCTAGGATAGAGACTATTCTGTGTTTTGGAGAAAGCCAGGGATTTTTTTCCCCAAAGAGACTGGCTGCAATCTAAGTTAATGGCAACATTGTCAATAAGTATCCTTTTTATGGATTATCATAATGCTAGCAGAAATTACTTTTGTTCCATTATGCTGGAAGTATGGCTAGAGACCAAACACAAGAATTTGTTCCCAAGTATTACAGTCTAACAAAATAGGTCTCACCCAAACTTTCCCCAGCCAACAATATAAGTAATACAAATATAAATAATAATTATTATATGATTTTAATCTCTTGGATAGTTTATCCTTCATTAATAACTAAGGATATCTCACAGGAACCTAAGGCATTAGCACCTGTCTGCTGTGACTATGTTAATTGTCTATGTCAGAAGTCTTATGTCATAATGTCTAAGTCTATATCAGGAGTTATGACAATGTGCTTTGGTTCACCTTTATGAAGTGTCTATTTCCATGAGTGTGGCTTTTGGGTGAGTGAAGATAAATTAAATAAATCTACTGAATGGAGAATAAGGCTAAATTCCATCATTAATTCCCTTTTAGGATTTCAACTAGAAGTGTAAACTGCTGCTTTTATTTCATGTTCCCATATATTCTAAACATCTAAGGGCTTCATTTGCCTTGTTTTCTCATGAGTGTTCATAAAAGAAAAAAAATGAAAGCTATGTTTTCAATGTTCTTTTAAGTGCAATAGAGAGCTATTTTAACACCAATAACAACTAGGGTGATGTTTTCCCTTTCGTTTTATCAGCCATCAAGGATCTTCAGGTTTGGGAGTAGATAACTTTTCTCGAGTTTGCATTCATTGGGTACAACCTTGTTGCAGGGCCGAACATTAGCAGCCTTGCCTTTTGAAGTGTGTCCCTGTAGTTTTGTTTTTTTGGAATATTGGGAATAAAAATGTCCATTAGAGCCTTTAAATTTATACCAGAGAAAAAGGGATCACATTTCTTTATTAAAGAAAAAAGAAGGTCACTTCTGTGGCGTCGCTATATTTCATGTATGTTAAGGTTTAACAACCAGAAAGCACTAGAAACAGGCACTTTTTTTTTTATCATATCTCATTGACATTTTCAGTCTAACAATTTGAATCAGTACTGTAGCTAAGTCGAAACCATTTAGCCCCCTAATCTCTGGAAATGAATTCTCTCTTTTACGAGAATGTAATGGCTATCTGGTCACATTTGAAAGTCGTTTTCATATTCAATTCCTAAGTGACATGAAACTAAGTCCCTGAAACACAATAAAAAAAAAAGTGCCAATTCTTGTAGCACCTGGGAAACAGAAAGGGAAGGGTGAAGCAGAGACTTAAAAGTAGAAAGGTCGGGAGTCCCAGGGGTCAACCTCATAGTCTCCTCTCTGATAGCTGCGTGGTGGTGAGAAACAGAGACAATACCTGGAAAGGTGACAACAGGAGGAAGCCAAGGAGACTTTTTCCTTTGGAAGTTGCTTTAAGGATCATCAGTTTATCACGGATGCCCTGAAACCCACTCCACTGTCTTATTAAAATACTGAGTTAAGGTCATCAGCGAACTCCTTCTGGCCCAACCCAATGTTCTTTTCTTTATTCTCATCCTTTTAGTTCTTAATCATGTGACCCTACTTTGAACACTTGCTCTCAGTGTACTAGCTCTTGGCTGCCCTGTTCTGCTTCTCCTCTGTTGTTTCCATGGCAGCCACTCTCCAACGCTTAGCTTTGAATAACCCAAAAGTATCCACCCCGCTGTGAAACATTCCTCTCTTCTTTTATTCCCGCTGTTGAGCACACACAGGGTTGCATCTCATTTCATCATCATAGCGTGAACATAGCTTACTCTACTAATTTAAGTTCCTGATTAAATACAATCGTAGATGGATATTTTATGTGTGAGTGTGTATGTGTGTGTGCATATGAATCTGTGTGACTCTGTCCCCATCTCTGTGTACATGAGTCATATTTGCTCAATCAGATTGTAAGTGCTTAAAAATAGAAAGTTTTGGAGGCCGGCTGAGCATGTATTTTAGTCAGAACTATGTTCAAAGAGTGCTGTTCCTCATAACTAACCTTTATAGGTCACTAAGGGTCTCTGAGCCCAGATTTCCTCATCCTTACAATGTGATTAACAATAATACTCACCCCCCTGAAATGGAGTAAAATAGTAAATGTGTATATATATAGGCAGATAGCATATACTGGACTCTCAATAAATAATTTCTTCCTGTGTTTTTAATTTCTCTCACATCACCCATTCTAGTAACACAATGCTGAGTTCAATTTCTACACTTTGAGTTGATTGATTGATCTAAACTGACAAGATGAAGGAAGTTGGGATGTATTAAGCTAATCAACCAAATCTCTTTACCACATTCTCTCAGTGTGGTAAATTATGAAGGCATTTATCGCCATAAATCACTTAAATGACTCATCAATATTTTATTTTTCTAAGGAAATTCAAATGCCAGGAAAACAGATGCACAATAATTTTCATGTGGTCACGTGTCTTTTAAATACTAACGGAGTTATTTGTGGTGTTATTTGGAAGGGTCTATAATATGAAAAATACAGCATCTAATTTACATTCGATGAGTTCACTTCCTACGACCTATTTTATTCGGCCTTAATTTTTATTTAGAACCAACAGTCTTAGAGATGGTAAAATTCGCTGAGGGAGAGTGTACCAACAGAAAATAGAAGTGGGAGTCAAGGGATTTATAAAAATAAAACCTGACATCTTGAGATAAAATTCTCAATATTATACAGTAGTATTTTTCTGTTAGTAAAACTGTAAAGATTTAAACGCAGCAGTAATCACTGCATTAAATAATACAGCCTTAGTGAAATGAAAGAGTTTCTTAACTGCAAAGACTCCAGGCTCCCGATTAGCTGACGTGGAGATAATTGTTTATAAGAGCGTTTACTGGTAAAGTGAAAGGAGTGAAAGAAACCTTACACGGGCACTTAGACGTGACTAAGGCGGGTTTTGTTTCTGATTCCAAAGCCCCGGAGCGGAAGTGTGCGGTGACTCAGAGCACGGTGGCAGGCCAGCTGACCACGACACACCTCTCTCCAGTGTGTAGTCAGGCGCCACCGTGCCAGAGGGAAGACTCACTGGAGGACCATCGTCATGTATTGACTTACGTGGCACAACCTCACCACCGATGAAAGAGAGGAACACTGAGTTAATTCATCTTTGATACTTTGAACTTAATTTTCACGGATTCCCAAAGCACTTAGGAAATGGCACACTGGGTGGAATCAACATCTGCTCATCAGCGAGTATCCTGCCTTGGAACACGATAACAAGGGCCATTTTATCATAAGGGGCTTGGCAATTCCTTTTTACTATATTGATCTAATTTGTTTTTCTGGGAGCTATGCATTCGCCGGGGAAAGAGGTAGCATGCTTTATTTGACCCATTTATTTTATAGCAATTTCTCCCCCACTTTTGCAATGTGTCCTGTGTATTTGTCCTATCAGGTAAGCTACACGGCATAAAAAGTCTACACCAAGGAAGATAAGCACACAACACGTACCAGTATGACCAGTCATTGACAAGCTCCTTCATTCCAAGGAGAGCCACTTCGATTTTCTTATGTGTTTGTTATTATTTGTTATATTGGAACTTTCAGATGAATTGGGAAGCAACACAACAATTATCAGGCCCCCAAACCTGTTCATATAAATACATAAACAAACTTCCTGTAGAATGAGATATTTTGTATTTTGTCATATTGGTTTTGGACTAAATTCCAAAATGTTGCCACTCTACATTATTTTTCTTAATAATTTATTTCTATTTTATAATCTATTTCTCTTTTAAAATGTAGCTTGCCTGAGGATGCCCACGGATCCACTTGCATTTCGTTCATGAATATATCAGATTAGGGTTAAAAAAAGATTATAGACCTAAGGAACCTAAGATTACAGACCTAGCATTTTGCTTGGTTTTGGACAGTCTTGGTGAGACACTTGTGTTTACTTGGTAAATTCACCTGGTTATGCCACCTCCTCCAGGTAGCCTTTTCTAACTCTTCCCCACCAGGATTAGTTAGTTCCTCTTTGTGTTGTCATGATACCCTGTTTTTACCTTGTTTTTTATTTATTTGATTTCTTGTCTGTTTCCTCCTGTAGACTATGAGACCCTTGTGGCAGGGGCCGCTGTATTCATCTTTGTCTCCTCAGCATCTGGCAAAATGTCTGACATATGGCAGGTGTGTCAAAAATGTTCACTAGATGAATGAACAGTGTAAAGTTATCAATCCATGATCTTCCAGCCTAACCACTTGTAAGAAAAATAATATTTTTTTTTCTAACAACAGTGAAGACAACATAATCATTGTCTAATTTGATGAGTAGTCATGAAGATATAAGTCATGGACTATTTGCTGATTTAGCACCTGGCCTACAAATAGTACAGTACCATTTTAAAGCTTTGACTCAGTAGACTTAAGTTCACCTTGATATTATGAATATCATTTACATTGACAATGGGGACCCCACACACAAAATCTTGAAATTGTTCTTGATAATTAGATACAAAAAAGGAAATAATATACACATACATGTATTATTTATTTATTTATTTTTACTTCAGAATATTATGGGGATATAAATGTTTTGGTTACATGGATTGCTTTTTTACTGCTTAAGTCAAAGTTATAAGTGTGTCCATCACCCAGGTAGTGTACATTGTACCTGCGAGGTATGATTTCACCAATCCCTTTCTCCCCTGCATAATTTCCATTGAATTTACTTCCATCCGTGCACATGAGTGCTGATCAGTTAGTTCCAATTTAATAGTGAGTACATGTGGTGTTTGTTTTTCCATTCTCACAATGCTTTATTTAGGATAATAGTCTCTGGTTCCATCCAGATTGTTGCAAAAGGTATTAATTCATTTTTTATGGCTGAGTCGTATTCCATGCTGTACGTATACCACATTTCATTAATTTTCTCATGAATTAATGGGCACTTGGGTTGATTCCAAACCTTTGCAATTATGAATTGTGCTGCAGTAAACATTTGAGTGCAAGTGTCTTTTTGATAAAATGACTTTTTTTTTTCCTTTTGTAAATATCTAGTAGTGGGATTGCTGGATAAAAATGGTAGGTCCATTTTTAGTTCTTTGAGGATTCTCCATACTATTTTTCATAGAGTTTGCACTAGTTTGCAGTCACACAGTGTGTAAGTGTTCTTTTCTCTCTGCATCTGTATCAGCACCTACTGTTTTGGAACTTTATGATGAAAACCATTCTCACTGGGGTTAGGTGATATCTCATTGTAGTTTTGATTTGTGTTTCTCTGATGATTGGTGGCATTAAGCATTTTTTTCATACGTTCATTGGCCATTTGCCTATCTTCCTTTGAAAAGCTTCTGTTCGCGTCTTTTGCCCACTTTTTAATGGGGTTGTTTGATTTTTTTCTTGCTGATTTGCTTGAGTTCTTTGTAGTTTCTGGTTATTAGCCCTTTATGACACGTATAGCATGTGAATATCTTCTCCCATTCTGGAGGTCGTCTATTTGCTTTGTTGATTGTTTCCTTGGCTGTGCAGAATTTTAATGTCTGGATTTTGAAATTCAGAGCAGAGGGGTGGAGTGTCATTTTATATTGAGAATGGAAAGTCAGGAGTCTTGCGACACGTGACGCAACTGCTTCCATGGAATATTTTCAGACCAATAGGAGTTTGCGAAGAACTTTTATGGACAGTATAAATATTTTGAGCTGTAGGCATCATTACCAGCTGACATTTTCTTTCCTCAGGACCAGCTGTTCGGGAGCATCCCGGACTGGAGCCAGGCACATTTGAGACTTGGATCTGACGAGAGACTGCCGCAGATTCTTCTGCAGCAATGTCGGTGTTAGAAGAAAGCCGGCCGTTTGCTCAACAGTTATCCAATGTCTACTTTACAATCCTTTCTCTTTTCTGCTTTAAACTTTTTGTGAAAATCAGCCTTGCCATCCTCAGTCACTTCTACATTGTGAAAGGCAACCGCAAGGAAGCGGCAAGGATAGCAGCTGAATTTTATGGAGTAACCCAAGGACAAGGTATGTTTATGATAATCCTCTCTTGATTCAAGTTGAGTTTAACTATCACTTGATCCACGGTGCCTGAAAACATCACGTGTTTTCTTTATGGATTGCTTCAAAGTGAATATTTTGTAAATTTTTGTTAAGGAACATACTTGTAACTCGCTTCATGGCTTCATGAAAAAGAAAATTACTTTTTTTGTGTAAATGTTTGGGATAAAATCAAGATATCATTGCAAAACAGATGAATGGAAACATACCATTAAGCACATATATCTATATTTTCTATTAAGAAACATTTAAGAAGCTTAACCATTTGATTTGCCAAATCACAGTGTTAGAGATTAGTTTTAAAAGTAACTGATAACACTTTATTTATCCTTTAACACCTACTTGGATTACATGATTTTAAGTCAAATGTTTCATTATAGATAAAAAATGCTTGTTATTAAAAAGAAGATTTCAAGATTTTGTTTCTCACAACTGTATTTTAATAAGATTAGCCATTTGATTCTAAAATAAAGCATAAATAATGAATATTTATAGTATGTGTTTTCCTGATGGAATTATTATTGCTTTGCTCAGTTTGTGAGAAATTGATTATAAGAAGATAGGAACATAATTAACAAATTTTATATGTGTGCAGCCAAGTGCATCCATGTTCCTTAGGATAAATTGAAGAGAAACCAAATGAGAAACAATAATTTTAATCATAGACTTTAAAAGTTGTAAAACCACTTACACTCCATTAGACCAATATCCTGTACTATAAAAACAATTCATATAGTCTTAGATTATCATCTATTTTATAGTCTTAGACTATTATCTGTAGTCTATAGATTCATTTCTGATTTGAAATCAGCAGATATTCATAAACATTTTACAGTCCAAATACCTCTAAAGCAACTTAAATTAGCAGAATTAAAATTTATTGTCACACAATTAAAGAATGTCAATTTTTTAAAAAGATCACTTACAGTAGAAAGCTTGCCTTCTTAAAATCTATTTTTCTACACTTTTCAATGTGTAACATCATTCATTTTAAAATCTAGATTATTCTATCAATAATGGAAAGTTGAGTGAACGTGGAGAATCTTTCTTAGTGCGTGAGGTAGATAATGAGTACGTTTTTCCTGAGGAAGATTGCTCTTGTGACAAGTGAGGGATTTATGCACTCACTCAACATGAGGAAAATTTGAATACTCATATCAAACTCTCTCAGGGAAGATGAAATCTCAAGGAAATAGGTGGTATTCAACTCTTTACCTACCAGCTACAGAACAGGTATTTAAATGTGACATACATATTAAATTGTGACATAGTTGGTATCTATGTGATCCAACTATAAATAAACAATTTAGTTGATAAATGGAATATTTGTGTACAAAACAGCAAATGCAGAAAACTAAATTTTAAAACAAAAGTTATGTGTCTAGACATAAGGCTAAACGGATTATATGATCATAAAGGGGTAAAATTTACCCTCACAGGCTGCCTAAAGCTCATTCCTTCATAATCAAATCTTGTCTACGTATTCTGAAAATTGCCTATTAAAACATGAAATACTGGCTAAAAAGAAGAAACCTTTTTTTATGGGTTGACAAGGGTTTCAGAGAAAGGTATGGAAGCTCCCTTTTGTACATGTTTACAAAAACAAAACAAAAACACCCGTCCCTCTGTAGACTGATCTTAGTGTGCTTATGCTGGGAAATCATGACTATACATGTAATGGCTTCCATGTTCCCCTTATTTTATGATTCTATCTTAAGATATATTAGAACTTCAGGATTTTGTCTCAAGAAGAAAAGAAAGAAAAAAACAAAATCAATACTTACTACCAGAAAACACTTTCCCTGGAAACATAAACTGTGAACAAAGTTTTAAAAAACTTTGTTTTATGTTGTGTCTAATGTTATATCTATTTAACAAAATGCTCACCTCCAATATCATGCATTTATCTACATATTGAACAATAGAATATATTATCATAATTTTAATTCAATGTAAGCATAATTAGTCTCTGATTTTATTTTAACATTAGGAGAAAAAAATCAGGTATCTTAAAAAACTTTTCTTATTCTTCTACTTCTAAAAGTTAATTCTTCCTTGTCGACAAAATTATTGCATTCTCCATTTTAACACAGCTTTTTCTTTTATTTACTAAAACTAACTTATTTTTATCTGTTTGTATCTTTATAATTAACTACTGGGGCTTCATTATCTTTGTTTTATCCAGCAATATCTTCCTTCCTGGGAAAGATTATCACCTTCATTTCACTTTGAATTAGGTTTCTCATTCCTACTTTCAAGACTTAGCCAAAGTGCTCCCCAACATTTCTGATACAGAGTTGCCAAATTCCATGAAATAAGAGATGATGTGTGTATTTTCATGTCTTTCATAATCACAGAGGACCCTGTTGACAACATTGAATGTCTTCCCCATGAGCAGTAGTACTTTGGTACGAAATAAGAGAAACTGTTAATTTTCCAAGATACTATTGCAAATCAGCTCATTGTATTAAACAAATGTAGAGTTTCTTTTTTTTTTTTTTTTTAAAGCACTTTCAAATAAGGCTTGAGACCAGGGTATGATTACACACAAGAATGCTGAGAAGCTAAATGGTATTAAAATAGCTTAAAATGTTTCCTTCTTGATCCATTTACTATTTCATTAAACTTTACAAATCTGTCTTATCATCTCTGAAGACTTTTGTCAACCCCACCATCAAATTGAAGGGGGCCTGTTATTTGCTATGCTTTTCTACATAACTACCTCCTGTATGGTTCTTGCTGCTAAATGTCCCAATTACAGTCTCTGTATATCAGAGGTCTAGTCTATTTTTGAAGTTAGCACTATGCTTTGAGACTGATTGTGAAACTAACATGAGTTGAAAGGTGTTTTCAACTGTAATATTAAACAGCACAGAGAGTGAATGAGGATGTGGAGGAATATGTTAATTTGGAATCATTCTAAAGGGCTAGAAGAGCCCTCAACTACTCATATCCCAAGGACACTTCAAGAGGCAACTCCTCTCTTCCGTTACAGTCAACACTTTTTAAGTTCCATCTCGGACTCTGAAGAATTTAGCAGTTTTACCTACAAGTGGATAGGGCCAATTCTAAGCACTTATGTTTTTGAGCACTGTTGATATGAAGACACTGAAGATACAGGGTACATAAAAGACAAACTGTATTGTTCTCATCCTTAGTTTGTATTCTAATTAAGGAGAATAGGATATTTTCATATAATAATCACTTTCCAAAATACTAAATGCCAAATGGGTCCAAAGAATGAAAGGGTCATTTTCAGATGTGGACTTTCAGAGATGTCTGAAAGGGGAGGCAGCCCCTGAGTTGACCTCAGGGATGAGCAGAGGCACGGATTTGTGGGTGCACATGGAATATCAGGGGATAGTAGATTTGGCTGGAGTGGAGAGTTCATGTGGTAGAAAAGTAATAATAAATTGGGCCCAGATATGAAAGAATTTGAGTGGCAGGCTAAGCAATTTTTCTGACTTGACTTTGAAAGCAGTAAGAGTCACTGAAAGTTTCAGGGTAAGTGAAGGTGGGAAAAATAAGAAAGGAGGTGTACGAAATCATACTTTAAGGTAGATTTATATGGTAGTAATCTTTGAAGTTGGACAATGGAATATGTTTGAAGCAGGTTGACCAGTTAGGACCTTTCCATAAAGAGATAAGGACCTAGACTGATTTGGTGGTGAAAGAAGAGAAAAAAGAAAGAGTGAATCTGATAATGCCACAAATATAGCACTGGCACAGAGAGTAGATGTTATCTTGGAGTAACCGAGTGTCTCCCAGGGTTAGATAATAACATGTCAGTCAGAAGAGGGGGCGATTAGCCACACCGGCCAAGTCTGAAGCTCCCAGCCAAGGCCACACCTTGGTGGTGGACCCTCAGTGGCGTGGCGTGGCGTGTCTGGTGGGTCACCTTCCTATCTCTACTGTGAAATATCAGGTACATCAGGAAGTAATAGAACTAAATCTGAATTCTAGTCTTACATTTGACTCATTTAATATGTTCTCTTTGTATCACTTTATTTTTAATCACCGAGAAGCCTTCTGATTACGATTTACTCCCCACCTAGACCTGCCCACAAAAGTAGAATGCGCTGGCTTCCCTCAAGAGAATTTTAGCCCATCCAACATTTATAGTTCTTGTTGTAATTGAATACATTTGCATCTTCATATCAATCTTCAAAATTGTTTGCTCTTTGACCTGTAAGTCTGCTTCTGAGTTGTGAATTTGCTCCAGTCTTGCTGATACATCAGGTTTCTGAGCCCACAAGGCCATGGACCAAATTTTGGATGGTGGGAGATTTATCAGCTTGAGAAACAATCTGGTGACACTTGTGTGAGACTGACCTAGTCACGTGCTCCTTTCATCGCTGAGGCTTTATGTAGACTATAGAACATATGGAGAACCATTGGCTAGACTATCTGTGCTTGTGATTCCAGAAGTTTTGTTTTAAGGGTGACATTAAGCATGCAATAATTTTTTGTTAAATCTGTGGTTGACACTTACAAATAGGACATAGTGTAAACATGCCATCTCGGGTTGATAGCAAAAGAATTTGTCATTTTTGGAAAACAGTATATAACCTGCATAGGAAAAGCAGCTTGAATTTGATATAACATCTTTTTTCTTGCCATTAGTAAAATCCATCCTAGGTTTAAAACCAAATTTAGGAATTTAACTTTACAGCGGATGCCAGCAAAGTGCAGCAATAATATTCATGATACCTATTTCTGAGGGGCAATGTATTTCACATGATTTTTGATGCTGCTGTGCAACTTGTGCATGACAGTAGTGATCTTAGCAACATTTCTCAGCATCACAGCAATGAAAAATTTCAGGAGGCAAATCTTCAGGATGACTTCTTTAATGTTTTTTATTATATAAAGGTATAAAAATATCCTGAGGATGTGAGAGTTTTTGGACACATTTTTCTATCCTTAGGTGGAACAACTCTATGTAAGAATAACTGAAATCAATAGAA